TGGACAACGCGGCCGGGCTGCGGGGCGCCGCGGCTCCCCCTCCGCGCAGCCCGCGCTCCCTCGCCGCTGCCCAGCCGCAGCCGGCGGAGACCGGGAGGGGAACAAGGACGGCATTGAGCTGGTGTCGGCATTGGCTAATTTCTGCTAATACTCCAAATTCTGCCTCCCCCCCCAACCCCACCTGCACGGGGGAAGCGAGCGGGCGAGCCGAGGAGGCCGCGGGGCAGCCCGGAGAGCCCAGCTCCGCGCACCTCGGCCAACTTGACTCGTGCTCCCTGCCCCCTCCCCCCGGGCCGGCCCCATTGCAGCCGGCCTGAAATTTGCACTTGTTCCCACCGAGCCCCGTCTAGCTCGCCCGTCTCTCCGGGGCACTCGTGGTGAAGGTGAAGTGTTCCCTATAGAGGTCGTGACACTGAGCCGCAACTCACGCCTGGAGCTTCATGCTGTATTAAACACAATCAAAACGAGCCCCTCTCAGCCCCTGTTTTGTTTTCCTCCCGCGGATGACTCATGAGAAACATCTCGGGGAAATCAATCTATCTATCTGTCTATCTATCTATCTCCACAGCCCCGGCCGCACCTCTGCGCACACGCTCCTGACTTCCCGAGCCGCTGGGCTGCCCCCTGCGCCCACATCAGGCCGTGCCCCGGCACCTAGGAGCACCCAGTAGACAGCAAGTTAGAGCCCTGTTGTGGGGTGACCCCCGCACCCCACCCTCGACCCTGCCTTGAGGCCGCAGGGTGCGGGGGTCCCACGCAAGGACAGCTCCTCCGCTTCAAAGCCGGGGGCTCTGCGGAGTGACTTCTAGCTGCCCCGAGCCTCCAGGCTCCGGGGCTATTGTGATTTTGTTTTCATGCCAGAGATTTAGTAGAAAATATATCTATCCATACACATAATATGAGGTGGAGTGGTTGGTTGGTCGGTCGGGGAAAGAGGCGTCTTTCGAGTGCAAAGGCACAGAAGGCCGAAGAGCTGAAGAGCAGAGTCCAAACCCAGAAACTTTTCTTACTTTAATGGGTTCCAGTCTATGAAAAATAAGTTACAAATTCTTGCAACAGTAGCTTTGCATGTACTTATTTTTCTCCCATGTCCAGACGGGGTCGTCTATTGAATAAGGCTCTTTTATTCTGCATGGGGCAGGGGATTTGTGACCATGGTCCCCCTTTTATTCCTCTCTCTATGGAAACCCAGATCATGGGGAGAAATATGCGAGGCTGAATAAAGAAAAGCAGCAGAAAGGACCGCTTGAGAGCGGCATCTGTTACACTTGGGAAGTTAGACTGACAGGAAAGAGCTAAAGAAACCCTCTCCAGCAGATTAGTTAGAACAGCAAGAAGATTTAACTATATGCAGATAAAAACACTTTAAAATAAAGCATATAGCGAGCTCCGGCTCTCCTCCCAGGAGCAGGGCGTTATGGCGTTGGGGTCTGCTGCAGCCACATTTTGAAAAATACTAAAACCTGCTATTCAGGGGTTTTAGTTCCCTCCTAAAGACTCTTCCTTCATGCAGCGGCAGATTTATTTTCACGGGCAAAGGGATCTGAAAAATTGTTTTAGAAGTCGGAGTGCAAATTAATTTTAAATAATTTAGTTGCCTTGAAAAAACAGTGTTCGCGTTTTTTCCTTCTTCCCAGGCGTCGCTAATATTTATTTTAAGAACCTTGTAAAGGTAGAGAAAGAAAGAGTGTATCTATCTATCTATCTTCATCTCTCTCCACGCATAGCAAATCAACTGCAGCTTCAATACCTAGAGCCTGGCTCGAAACCTTGCCGTCAGAAATGCAGCTTTTAGAGGGACAAAAGGGTTATGATTCTCTTTTGCAGAGACATTTTTCATCTTCTGACCTCTAAACTGACCCTTCGCGACACGCTTTCCAGCGACGTTTTCAAGGGAGCTGCCTTCCTCGCACCTGAAAACTTTTCCGAAGTTCTTTTTTTGCTCGGCAGCCCGGAGCCCGACTGCAGCTGCGAGAGAGGCAGGCACCCACCTTCCTGCAAAAGTGCCCCTCCAAAAAGCCAATCGATGTCTGGGCTAAAAGCGGGTAAACCCTGAAAATGGAACATCATCAATACCAGACTGACGTTCCCCTCCGTGCCAAGCACGCTTCTAATCTAGCAGAAAACAAAGAGGAAAGGAGCATCTCCCCCCAGTATTTTGCTTTTTAAAAAATATCAAAACCTATTTCAAACAGAATACCCCGCTCTGCCATTTAACAATTACATCCAACATTTACAAATGCTTGTCAGCTGTGCTATGCTGAGGCTTTGATGAGAAATTATGGTTATTACTACAACGAGGAAAAGTGATGCTGCATAGCTAGAAAGGAATCAGAGGAAAGCTCACCTTGTTTATATATAATTTTTTTCATTTTCTTGCATTTTCTCCAGATCTGTCTTCTCAGAGAAACTAATGCCTTAATGACTTTCTGGTAGCTGCAAGCCTTCTTTTATTTCTGCTAAATATATGAAAATGTATGCAAATTTAAATCAAGCTTAACCTAGGAGCTCTTGCAATATATTTAATGGAATTTCAAACCAATAAGGGAACTCTGATGCAGTCTTCTGTAAGTGCAAATATAATTACGCAGCTAGGTTACCTCCAAAATTATGCAAGGAAAGGTCATTTTTTAACTTCAGAGATTTTCTAAGGTATTAGGTGTTTAATTTTCTCAGCTTGAGCACTACAACAACTGTGAAACACCCAGCTTTGTCTGGCTCTGCTCCTTAGCAGAACATTTGAAAGAGGAAGAGTAAAACGCAATGTTTATTTCCCCCATTTCCGAACGGTTTGAAACTTAATTTAAGAGGGGAAAAATCAGCATTTCCCACACTCTCTCTCTCTCTCATTGTTTGCTCTGGTCGTCAAAATATAATTCGCCTTTTCATTCTTGCACAAAGCACATACAATCCACACACCTAACATAGCGCTCAGTGAACATACACCTCGTCCCTTTCTTTTATATTTCGAACTGGGATGTAAAAGGGAAAAAAAATAATTTTTCTACCTAGATATCTCAAAGCACCTATTTTATTTTCCAAATGAGCAAAACGTGCCTTCGTGGAGTAAACTAAATTAGAGAGAGGAGCTATATTTTGGCCACATTTGGGGGTCTTGCGGAAGGTGTGCTCAGGCTCTGGGGCTCAGAAGTTGTGGACCTGCTGGTAGGAAATGACATTTAGCAGGCAGAAAAAAGCAAGGAGCCCAACTGACCGGAAGATCGGGGAGGTAAAATTTAGGGTTGTTGTAGAACAATACTAAGAGTCTGAAATATTTGTATTTCAATCGGGAGAATGTAACTGTTAGCTAAGAAAGAATACATTTCAATTTCAATCTGCCCAGTGGGGGGGGAAAAACAACTGTTTTCTTTGATCTGCTTAAAAATCCCAGACAGAGCTGTGTATATTTAGAGTTGCTGGGTTGGGGTTTTTAATTTCTGCTCCTCGGAAATGTCTCCGAGCTGTAAGGCTTGCGCACGGTGCCTGGCGTGTGGTGTCGGAGGGAGCGCGCTTGGGTGTTTCGTTTGTTTGTGGGGGGTGGGGTGGGGATTTATGCTGTAAATCTATATTGTATTGTCTCGCAGTTACCTTGATGGTGAATTTACAAGGCTGGAGCATTGGGGAGTCCCTATAAACTGTGCTAAGGGTAGATTGTCAGTCTTGGGTGCAAGCATTTAACCTCTGGTTTTTGCTGTACCTGGAATTAATCACTACAAATTTAAACCATGCCCTGTCATCCTCCTTCCCCCCTCCCCCCGCCACCCCTTGCTCATAATGAAATCTTAAAAACAAATCTTGGCCTCCAGCGCAGAAAGAGTTAAACAAATGAACCGTGGAGAGTCAGCCAGCAGCAACCAATGGAGCCTAAAGATTGATTCACTTCCTGCTTCAGGCTCACTTTAACTCTTGGGTTTCGCAAACCTAATTTGGACAGCGCGACCTGCCTCCTCTCCCCCCATTGGTGCGAGCAAAAGCTTCCCAACAGACGAGCCGCTGCCATTGGCTGGCCGAGCTGCCAATTACTAAGTGGCTGCTGATTTGGCTCCCTTGCCTGGTAGATGTCAAAGGCTGAAGCTGCTCCCTTTGCCACATTATAACTAGTAGGGGATCTACACCAACCATGGCCACAGCTGCCTCTAATCCCTACAGCATTCTCAGTTCCAGCTCCTTAGTCCATGCAGACTCCGCGGGCATGCAGCAAGGGAGCCCCTTCAGAAACCCACAAAAACTTCTCCAAAGTGACTACCTGCAGGGAGTTCCCAGCAATGGACACCCGCTCGGACACCACTGGGTGACCAGCCTGAGCGATGGGAGCCCCTGGTCGTCCACCCTAGCGTCGAGCCCTTTAGACCAGCAAGACGTGAAACCAGGAAGAGAAGATCTCCAGCTTGGCGCAATCATCCATCACAGGTCGCCTCACGTTTCTCACCACTCGCCCCATACAAATCATCCCAACGCGTGGGGAGCTAGCCCAGCTCATAACTCATCGATAACCTCCAGCGGACAGCCTATTAATGTCTACTCCCAGCCTGGCTTCACAGTCAGTGGCATGCTGGACCATGGGGGTCTGACACCACCTCCAGCCTCCGCCACCACCCAGAGCTTGCACCCAGTGCTGAGGGACACCGCCGAGCACGGGGATATAGGCTCCCACCACTGTCAGGATCACTCTGACGAGGAGACGCCGACATCAGACGAGTTGGAACAGTTTGCAAAGCAGTTCAAACAAAGGAGAATCAAGTTGGGCTTCACTCAAGCAGATGTGGGCTTAGCACTGGGGACTCTCTATGGCAATGTTTTCTCCCAGACTACAATCTGCAGGTTTGAAGCCCTGCAGCTCAGCTTTAAGAACATGTGCAAACTGAAGCCACTGCTGAACAAGTGGTTAGAAGAGGCAGACTCATCCACAGGTAGCCCGACGAGTATTGACAAAATAGCAGCCCAGGGCAGGAAAAGAAAGAAGAGAACCTCCATAGAGGTGAGTGTCAAAGGGGTCCTGGAAACTCATTTTCTTAAATGTCCCAAACCTGCAGCCCAAGAGATCTCCTCCTTGGCAGACAGCCTACAGTTAGAGAAAGAAGTGGTGCGTGTCTGGTTTTGTAACAGAAGACAAAAAGAGAAAAGAATGACTCCGCCAGGGGATCAGCAGCAGCACGAGGTTTATTCTCATAACGTGAAAACAGACACATCCTGCCACGATCTCTGACTAGAGGGCTCGGCTCTCAGACAGGACTGGCAACAGCGCGGATTTTCTAAGAGGGGGTTAACTTATGTTTAAAAAGAGGAAACATAAAACAAATCGGCCAAGACTTAGAGCATGGGGCTTCCCGCTCCTCCGCCTGGGCAATATATTCTCTCAAACCTTTTCGCTGATCACTACGTATTGTTTACTATCAAACAAGGTTTGTTTTCGGTCTCCACTAGGAAGAAAAAGAGAGAGAGAGAGAGAAAGAGAGAGAGAGAGAGAGAGACAGATGTGTGCCTATGAATAACCTTCCAGCGCCTTGGTTATATCAGCTGTATTTCAGGTGAATCTGTTTTACAATAGACTAGTTTTGCATTTTTAAAGACTTATATAGCGTTTTTAAATGTCTGAGGTGTTTTACTACAAACTGTACACAATATTTGTGACATTATTCGTACCCACTCGATCAGCCAACGTTTCTCCCGTCTCCATGCATTGAGCACGTCCCTCTTATTTAAGGGGGGGGGCAGGGATTAGACACGTCCCTTTCTCTTTAGGCATCTCCCCTTCCTCCACATCCCAAGCTAGGGGAGAAAGGGGTCCCTGTTCCGCACCCCAAAGGCAAGAAGTGGTGTCTGCTCCCCTTGATCCTCTCGCACACTCGAGTGCCGCATGCCCGCTGGGGCTCCTTCCTAGCTCTCTCCCTCCTCTGCAGTCGTTTCCCAGCACGGCCAAACGGTCAGATTGAAATGCTTAAAAAAACCCTAAATAAGTAGATAAATACAAAAATAAAACTAAGATTCCGGCTCATGGGGGAGGGGGGGGGAGGCAAAACAAAACAAGAGCTCCGAAATTACGCATCAGAGCCCAAAGCAAGCGTTGCCACTTCTTTTCTTTCCGAAGATGTGCTGGGGCTTGTGATCAGCGCCAGACTGCGAAGGTCTGTAGTAAAACACCTTTCTAATTCTGCGCTTTGGCTTCGGAAATCGGTTTCTGTCTTTTGTTTCAATATCTAAGCGGCCTCCCGAGGTGTCTACATGAATTCCGGGGAAATGCCCGCATTGAATGAATGCTGAGCTTATTTCCGCCTCGCAGGGAGATGCTAGGTTTGCTGAAAGGCTTTTATAAAACATTGAAAAAATAAAAACAAATAATAATAAAACAAGTCAAGAGGATAAAACGCTAAAAAAAAGAAAAATTAAAAATCAATGTAACATTTCCCCCCTGGCATAGGAAAGAGCTGTGCTGTCCCCTCCCCTCTGCCCCGACCCTCAGCAGACGTGGGCTTTACAGGCGTGTGGACACACACATGTGCTATGTATGTGTGTACAGCTGCAGTACGTGCGTGTACATGCATACATGAGACGTGTGTGTCCACCACAAGCATACACAGATCGAGATAGATAGATATAGATATCTATATAGAGAGAGATCTGTCTGTCTATCGATGGACATATCTATCTACCTATATAGAGAGATATCTATATAGATATAGATATTTATAGATATCTCTATCTATAGATATATATAACCACACACCCTCCTTAAACGCGATGCATGTCCCCAGACGTGGGGCACGGCCGGCCGGGCTGTGTGCGCGTGTGTCCGTGTGTGCAAGGGCGAGCGAGATCTCTGCACCCGCAGTGCATGGAGATGCGCACACAGGAGCCCGGGCAGGTCGGAGCCCAGGCCTGCGGCGGCGGCGCGGATCTGCTCCCCGCAGCACGCGGCCGTGCGTTCCCCCGCAGCCAGATTCCCCCCCCCCCCCCCC